TCACCCGTATCACTACTCAACTTAACATTCAATTCCATGGGTGTTTCAGCTGGTTTGGCACCCAACAACCCTGTCTCCTCCAGTAGATCAAGGACATACTTCCTCTTGCACAAGTTAATACCATATTTGGACCTTGCTACCTCTATCCCTAAGAAATATTTTAGTTTGCCAAGATCCTTTGTCTGGAAGTGATCATGCAAAAAGGTCTTCAACCTATCAATCCCGAACTTGTCATTGCTAGTAATGACAATATCATCCACATATACCACCAACAAAATCATAACTGAATGCTGAATGATCGACTTGACACTGTTTCATGCCAAACTTTTTCACTACTTCACTGAATCTTCCAAACCATGCACAAGGATACTGTTTAAGTCCATAAATATATTTCCCGAGCTTACACACTTTACCATCCTCCCCCTGAGCAACAAACCCGGGTGGATGCTCCATATACACCTCCTCAAGAAGATCACCATGCAAGAAAGCATTCTTGATATCAAGTTGAAACAAGGGTCAATCATGCATAGCAGCTAGGGAGATCAAAACACGAATAAAACCAATCTTGACAACAGGAGAGGTCTCTGTGTAGTCAATGCCATATAACCGTGAATAACCCTTGGCAACCAACTGAGCTTTCAACCTCTCAACACTACCATTAGGCAAATACTTGACCGTGTATATCCACTTACATCCTACAACATGCTTACTAGGGGGAAGAGTGGTGAGATCTCACGTATGATTACGAGCCAGAGTAGAGAGTTCTTCTCCCATTGCTTGGCGCCACCCCGGAGAGATAAGGGCTTCTTGGACATCCTTAGGAATAGAAATAGAAGATAAAAACGAAAAAAACTGTCAATGGGAAGGAGAGAGGTGAGAAACAAAACATAATTGGAGATAGGATGACGGGTACAACTACGTTTACCTTTCCGCAGGGCAATGGGAAGGTTAAGGTCAGACACGGGGTGTGATGGTGCTGCGGAAACTACTACTGGATCCGTCGATGGTGAAGAAGCTGGAGGGGTCAGTGCATGCGATGCGTATACACTTGCTGGATAGGTGGCCGTGTAGGAGGAAGTGGCACCGGAGGCGAAGACTTAGTCGTAGCTAGAACAAGAGGAATGGGGTTCGCAACGGAAACTGGAAGCAGAAGGAAAGTGGAAGGAGAAGAGACATCCGACCTAGAAAAGAAAGGAACTGACTGAAAGAAGGTAACATCGGGACACACAAAACAACATCGAGAACTGGGACTGTAACACTTGTACCCTTTTTGGGGTCCTAAAATAGCTAAGAAAGACACACTTCGTAGATCGTGCATCCAATTTATCTAGTCCGGGGCCAAGGTTATGAACAAAGCACACACACTCAATAACCCGAGGGGTAAGAGGAAAAGAAAACGATGTAGGAAACAAAACAGAGAAGGGAGACTAACCATCAAGGATGGACATAGGTATTCGGTTAATAAGAAAGCAGGATGTAAGCACAACATCACTCCAGAACCGTTTGGGTACATTCATATGGTGCAATAGGGACCGAGTGGTTTCTAAGAGATGGTGGTTTTTCCGTTCAGCTACCCCATTTTGTTGAGGGGTGTAAGAGCAAGAGGTTTGATGAATAATACCATATTGTTCTATATATTGCTGAAAGGGTGTATAAAATATTCTCAGCCATTATCTGAATGTAGAATCTTAATATGGACACCAAATTGAGTGCGGATTTCAGCATGAAACTTTTGGAAAATAAAAAATAATTCACTTCTTTCTTTCATAAGATAAAGCCATGTCATCCTTGAATAATCATCAACAAAAATAACAAAGTACTTGTATCCATTGTGTGACACTATTTTATTTGGACCCCAAATGTTCGAATGGACCAAAGAAAAAGGACTCGACAAATGACACTCGGCTCTATGACTAAAGGAAACCCGATGATGTTTCCCATATTGACACGACTCACAATCCAAAGTAGAAAGATGACTCAATTTTGGAACAAGTTGCTTCAGTTCTTTAAGAGACGAATGACCAAGTCTGCATTGCCACTGGAGATGGGAGAGAGATGACTGAAGAGCTGTTGATGAACCACCACCRCCACCATCAAGGTAATATAGTCCACCGGCTTCATGCCCTCCACCAATCTTCATCCCCGTCTTGAGACCCAAAAATACACAAGGTGAAGGGTAAAAGGTGATAGAGCAATTATGAGATTTGGTTAGTTTACTAACAGACATAAGATTAAAAGGAAATGTGGGAACATACAAAACTGAAGACAAAGATAATGAACCGATTTTAACATCACCAATATCACTTATGGAAGAAGTGGAACCATTAGCAAGGGTGATAGTGTGGGTAGTAGAGGATGAAGAAAGTGAAGAGAACACACCTGGAGTCCCAGTCATATGATCGAAAGCTCTAGAATCAATGATCCAATGGGAGGGTTTGGATGCCAGACAAGCCATCTAAGTGGGCAAGCGTAGCTGTACTCGGCTGAGAAGTAGCCTGGATCAACCACTCATATTCAGTACGTGAAATACTCATATCTCTTGTTTGGAGGCATCTGTAGGTGGAGGTGTCTAATCGGTCTGTTGACTCCCTTGTTCCATACCACCACTAGCCACTGCATGATTTGCCCAGGATGAAGGTGGGCCATGTAGATCATAACAAAAATTAACAGTGTGCTCATCTATACCACAATGCGTACACCTTCTCGAACCATTATTACGTCCTCGACCACAAGCTCCCCCTGAATCTCGATCTCCAACATGCCCACCACCACAGCTGTACATACGTCCACCTCTACTACCACGGTCTGGCTGACCCTGATGAGCTACTCCTCTACCACCACGACTTCCCCCCCTTGTCATTGCAAAAGCAAACCTATCTGATATGGTAGGGTTCTCCGGATATCCAATGGAAGTCCTCCGGAGACGAGCAAACACCTCTTCAAGAGAAGGGAGGGAATACCCACCTAGAATTTGGGCTCTCACCGGTTCATATTCAGATTTAAATCCCACAAAAAATCTGGTAACATCAAGTTGTTCTCTTTGCTGTTGCTGAATTTTGACATCAGATGTAAGAGGGTGATACACATTCAACTGATTCCTTAGATTCCTCAGACTAGCATAGTACTCCTCAAGACTCTAATTACCTTGGTGCAGATTAAAATACTCTTGATAGAGTTGGTATACCCTAGTGGTATTGTCTTTTCCTGAGAAAAGCTTATTTGCATGATCCCAAATCTCTTTGGCTGTGTCTAAGAATATGAAGTTCACACTAATCTTGGGTTCCATGCTGTCCCATAACCAAGTCATAATCTGTGCATCTTCTTGTTCCCAATCATTGTACTCTTCGGATTCAACTAGGGGTTTTCTTCTCACATGTTTCACTTTCTTCTTAGCTCTGAGAAACACTTCAACAGATTTGGCCCAAGGCATGTAATTTTCTCCATTCAGTTTGATGGAGGTCATTTGCACATTCAAGTAGTCAGGAGGAATCATAACAGATTTGTGCTCATTGCTGAACAATCACCATTATCCAACACTTGTGGCTGATCATTACTGAAACATGCACTATCACAGATTTCAGCAATGGTAGTTACCACTTTTCTCCTCTTTTGGCACCTCACAAGAAACCACTACATACAAGAATATCACACCATCACTCCACATACCTTTGGCCACAGTCCACACGCCTGAACACAGATCACGAGATTACTGTTGCAACCCTCTTCGGTCCATCAGAGGGTTTCCTACCATCCACCTGAAACGATCACACCACACTCAATCGGAGGCATTAAAATCTCCAGAAGAAGAAAACGACCACTCCTTTTCAGCCTTTTAGTCAAACTCCAAAAACCCTAAGAGAAATCTGCACAATACTCAACTAGGGTGTGCTGAAACTGTACAGATCTGAACCAAACTAATCAAGCTCTGATACCATGATAAAGTTCAGATCTGTATACCTGTTGGTTTCAGATTAATCAGAGAAGAAAGGATAAAGAAGAGAGAAAGAGAAAAGAGAGGGAAGAAAGAAAGAAGAAGGGTGAAGAGAGAAATCTGGTTCGAACAGGAAAGAAAAATCAAATCTCTCCAGTCGGCCAGGATGTATTAAGCTTTCTATTTTACAGAACAAAAAGACTCTTGTGCCCCTACTTAAGTATGAGACACATCATCTAACTCGATATTACACCTTATATTAAACATAAACAAAAAGACTAATCTACCCCTATATAACCGACACTAACAAAGGCTCTAGTGGTTTATATCTAATTGCTTGTTGGAATAATTCTCTTTTGATTGATGATGAAGAAATGTTTTGTGAAATGATTCTTATAGAGTGTTACTGATTATATGCACAAACATTTTCTTGGAATATATTTTAGCTTGGGATTGGCTTACTGAATTTTAACGCAAAGCTTATTTCTTATATTTTCTACTGTCACCTGCATCACCTTGTTGTCCTACAGGACAGAACCATTCACATATTTCTGCTTTTATCTTCTTATGTTTGCTAATTTTTCTTTGGTCCATCAGTGCAGGTCAAACTTACCTTTTTCCCTCTCTCAAACACTTATTGATTCCTTAGTTTACCTGGCCTTCCACCTCATTGTGAATTATTTTTTCTTTTCTTGATTTCATTTACTCCAATTTTTCCAACTCATGCATAGAATAGATAGGAAGCTCTATTGGACAAGTGATTTGCTATTGATTCAGCGATACGGTTCACATATTGTTTTTTGAATACTGATTTTGTTTTCCCATGGTGATATGGATTTGCTGTTTGGACCAAATTAAAAAACTCCAATATTTGTTATTATATTGCTATCTTTCTGTAAATTCTTTCTCCAGTACCCATTTAATTTTGAACTTGTTTTCTGTGACCTTTTGTCCTTAAACTGTCATTTGCAAGGTTTCGGTGCTAAGAAGTCAATGTAGTTTGCACCATACTCAGTTTGGTTATTCAGTAACTTGGTTTATATTGTTCTTTGAACCAAAATATTTTCAGATCACTGTTGGAAAATCCATGGCACAACTCATGCTTTGAAGGTGCTGGGTTTGTCAGACTATTTCTTCCTACAAACATGGACAACCAAGAATTCTTTTCACAGTAAGGATTTTAAACTAATCCTTTTAGGGAACTAATCCTCCACACCTTTCTTGTATGATCATTTTGTGTTCTCTTTTTCTTTAATAATTTTTATTTATTATGAAAAAAAGACTCATTATGGGTGATTAACTTCCTATCTGTTGATATGACAGTGATTGGGTTAAACAATGCATAGACCAGTGGGATTCAATACCAAATTGCCAGTTTTGGGACAGTCAATGGGCTGCAGTTATTGCTCGTTGTATAAAGAAATACAGTTATATAAACTGGGACTGTTTCTTGCCTGCACTTTTCACTCGATATTTAAATATGTTTGAGGTGAGTTCGGGAATTCTTTTACAAATTCTGTGCTCTCACTTTATTTGGAAATCTTTTTGTTTTTTTTTTTGTTCTGTATTTATAGTTTGGAGGTTTAGATCATCTGTTGGCATTTACATGACCCGCTTTTCTTCAGTTTGTTTTCCTTGCTTCTTGGAAGTGCAACAAAAAGTGGGACCTACACAAATATGTGGTTGATATTTTTCTGATCTTTCACACCATGATTAAAAGCAATAGACTTTTAGACGTAGTTGAATATGTAAAATAGTGGAGCAACTTTTCTTCTTAATCTATTATTTTTTTGGGTTGTCCATGTTACAACCTTTCTTTATTATGGACTTTTCATGTATAAGAAAGAAATAATTTCTAATTAATATGTAATGTCTGGTTTTCTAGGATTTGTTTCCCATGGTGTGTAATCTGCATCTATTTATACACTTGTATTGCTGTTTCAATTTACATATTGAGATCACATGGTGTAACATGCATTCCATGTTTATGGAAAATTACCATCAAATGGTGTGCATGATATTATTTTGATTTTAATCTGTTTGTCAATGTGTATGATTGTTGAGCTTTTAAATATCCTTTTTTTCCTTTTTAATGTATGACCCCCATTATTTATGATTTAATTGTTAATAGTTGACCGGAAAGTGGCAACTTGCATACGCACACATACGTTTACACACATATTGATAAATAATGCATAATTAAAGGAAAAAAGGACCAAAACGTAAAGAGAGCTTTACAAAGGGCATAAGACACTATGCTGACCCCAATTGTAGCCAAAGAATTGCTATACCCTTTATATCCGTTTAAGAGAATCCAATAAATCTCTTACCATAGATCTGAGTTTCCAAATAACAAATGCATATTGGTAGTGTTCAGATACAGCGCATGGTTGGATATGGTGCATCTGAAGTTTTTGATTGATCCAATGATTTCTAAAATTTTCCTGTCCTAGAAGTACCTTCTGTTCCAGATCATTGTAGTTCATTAATCTTGTTTGAATGATGGTTGTGGACCTAGAGTTTTATTTGTACAACATACTGTTACAGATTGAATAAGAGGAATATTTTAAATAGGAAACAATTAGTCGTACATTGGTCGTGGTCTATTGTTTCCCTTTCTAGCTTGTGCCTGGTTTATTTTTTATTTTCTGGATTGGTAATTAAGTTATCTAGCATGTTGATAGGATACTTTGAGGCATAACAATTTTTGACTTATCATAAGAGGAATCTCACATTTCTCTCTGTTGGAAGTTCAAAAACCATTATGCAATAATTTACCTCTCCAGTATGCATCTATATATATGGATATAACTTGTATGATAATGCACTACTTGGTTCTAATGTTATAGGTTCCTGTGGCAAATGGTAATGGATCATATCCTTTCTCAGTGGATGTTCCTAGAAATACAAGGTTCTTGTTTTCCAACAAAGCCATTACCCCATCTAAAGCTATTGCCAAATCAATTGTAAGAAAGCTTTTTTCTATATTCTCTTTTATGGCTATTTTGTATATATCTGTTTTCAGTGTTATTGGGCATGCCAAGGCTTGTAACTAGTATACTCTCTATAAGAGGCTTAAGTACATTGGTTGTTTTTAGTATTTATATTCAATATCATTTCTTTGGCAACTCTACAGGTGTACCTTTTAAAGCCTGGGAGTTCGGCTCAACAGTACTTTGAGAAATTAGTCAACCTCTTAGAACAGTTTGTTTCCTGACATTTAATAGCTTATTTTATTGGACTTAATGCATTAGAGTTATTCATGAATTACCTTTTCTGTGCTGGTATTTCATTGCTGCAGATATTATCATCCATCTAATGGAGGTCGCTGGACTTACTCACTAGAGCGTTTCTTGCGATATTTAGTGATCACTTTCCAGAAACGTCTCATGCATGAGCAACAGTAAGTTTATCACCTGGATGATTAAATGTGATCTATTCCACATTATATGCGTTCTTTTGTCCAATTTTGTTCTTATCCTAATGAAATTGATACAGGAGCAAGGATGACAATAGACGGGCTGAACTGTACTTGGGAAGACCAGAAAGAGCCTCTTTTGTGAAAGTAGTGCTAAAATTAATTGAACGTGGCCAGTATAGCAAAAATGAATCTCTTTCTGAGACAGTTGCTGCTGCAACATCCATTTTATCATATGTGGAACCTTCTTTGGTGCTTCCATTTATTGCATCTCGGTTCCACATGGCCTTGGAGACAGTAAGTAGCACTGCCTTCTTTTCTTATTGCTCAAATTGGTTTAGATTTTGTTTGATAATGTTCTTTGGGTTTTATAGGAATCTGAGATTTACTCTCTTAGCCAAAACAAACTCTTCCCTTTGGAAACTATCCTTAATTGGCAGGCCAATAGAACAAAAGTAAGAGTTCTATTGATTTATGTCTTCTGACATTGATTTCTTCCATTTTTGTTCTAAACAGATGACAGCCACCCACCAATTGAAAACTGCTGTTACATCAGTAGCATATGCTGGGAGAGCCCTATTTCTTGCGTCATTTTCATCATCTTCATCTAAAGCAGATGATCTTGGAAATACTGATGGATTTGTTGATCTTCTGATGATTTCTTTATCCAATACATTGCTTGGTATGGATGCTAACGATCCCCCTAAGACCTTGGCAACAATGCAATTGATTGGCTCTGTATTTTCCAATGTAAGCAGCAACTTTCATGATTTGTATGACTGCAGAAGGTCGTAAATGTTATAAAGCTTCTTTTTCATCTTCTGTTTCTGCATTTTCATTGCAGATAGCATCACTAGATGATAAAGATGGATCATCGTTTATGCCAACCATCAGCTTTTCTGAATGGCTTGATGAGTTCTTATGTCGCCTATTTTCTTTACTTCTACACTTGGAACCTAGCACTGTTTTGTAAGCAATGACATTCTAGCTGTTTCTTTTTGCTTACTCTGTAAGCTTCTTTATAGATTTATTATTTAGTTGATCTATGCTTGCATTGGTTGTCCTTCTATGCACATGCGTTTATGTTTTTCCGTTTTTGGTACTGCAGGAATGAAGGTGCCCACACATCAGCATCATCAGGAACTTTCTTGGTTGAAGATGGTCCTTTTTACTTTTGTATGCTGGAGATCTTACTAGGAAAACTGTCAAAACCTTTATATAACCAGGTTTTGAGTTTTTATTTGTATATTTTGTTACAATTGTTTGGAAATTTAATTTTATTCCTCCCTCCACAGATTCAATCTCTTAGGTTTCTCTTTTTATCATATTCTTGCAGGCCTTGAAGAAAATTTCTAAGTTTGTCACCACAAATATTCTTCCTGGAGCTATTTCAGAGGTTGGACTCCTTTGTTGTGCATGTGTTCATTCTAGTCCAGAAGAGGCATCCATTCACATCATTGAACCGATCTTGATGTCCATCATATCCTCCTTAAATGGAACACCTGCTACGGGTTTTGGTGGAAGAGGAATTTCTGGTGCCTCAGTTTCAACCAAGGTTTCTCTTGTTCATAGTACTAATTCACTTCTCTGTATTACCTGGATTCATTTCATGAATTTCAAACCGTATTGCAGGCAAAACCAACACTTTCTCCAGCTTTGGAAACAGCAGTTGATTATCAATTGAAATTGTTATCAGTTGCCATTAGTTATGGAGGTGCCGTGCTTCTTCGCTACAAGGACCAATTGAAAGAAGCGATTGTTTCTGCCTTTGAAGCACCATCTTGGAAGGTTTTGTGTTGGCTAGTGATATAGTGAAGTTCTCTGCAAACTATTTTCTTTCTTATAAATGGCCACTTTCTTATACAAGAAATGATTTATAGAGTGATATTTTTTAGGCAAGTAAAATTGCTGTTTTAACAAAATGAGGAAAGGGGGCAGAAGGTTCATATGTATATCTGGTCAGTGAATAACTATGAAAGAAGCAATTGTTTCTGCCTTTGAAACACCATCTTGGAAGGTTTTATGTTGGATAATGGCATGGTGAAATTCTTTGCAAACAATTATTTTACTTTAAATGGCCAATTGCTGAAAAAGGAAAAAGTTTCCAAGTAATTTTTTGGGTGAGCAAAATTGTTGTTTTAACGAAATGAGGAAAGGGGGCAAAAGGTCCATATATAGAGGAGTATATCTGGTCAATGAGTAACTATGAACAGTCATTGACAAAACAGAGTACATCAAAGAGGGGTACAAGATAAACTTCAAAGAAACTGGGTCTGGAATCATGTGAACTAATTCCCTTGGATTCCTTCAAGATGGAGGACTCTAAGGGAAAAAAGAACATGTTGCTGATCTTTGGCGCAACGGAAATATTTATGAATTATTGTAATTTTTTCCTATATTCCTACCTGTAGAAAAACTGACAGGTTTGCCATATGATAGGTCAATGGAGCTGGTGATCATGTTCTTCGATCCCTCCTTGGAAGCTTGGTCCTCTATTACCCTATTGACCAGTATAAGTATGTTCCCTTTTCATTATCATGTCTTTTTGACTCAACATTGCTCACTTTTGTTTCACCTGCCAATTTACTAAATATCTTCTGATTTTTAGGTGCATCTCTCACCATCCTGATACTGCTGTATTAGAGGAATGGATCAGTGCAAAAGGTTATCAAAATGAAGATCAGTCATTGAGCCCCAAATGGCACATCCCCAGTGATGATGAAATATTATTTGCAAATGAACTCTTGAATCTACATTTTCAATCGGCTTTAGATGATCTTCTAAGAATATGCCAGACCAAAATTCACTCTGATCCAGGTAAACCTTATATTCTATCTAAGGCTTCATTGTGCTGCAGTCTAATATAATCTATTTTAATTTCATGGAAATATGTAATTATGTCCAAACTATATAATGCAGTGCTACCTCATTTAAAACTGTTTTGGTTTTATTGGGTATCACAGCTGGAGTATTTCATGAAATTGAAATTTAAAATATCCAAAAATTTTAAATTATCATCATCGTCATCACCCATGCCTTATCCCAAATTCCTAACTATATGGGGTCGGCTACATGAATCCTGTTTTTCCAATCCTTTCTATTTAAAGGCATATATCGTTTGATAAACTAAATACAAAATGAAGATGGTATCAAGGAACCATTAACAAAGCATTTAAGCTTTTAAGCTCTGTGAGGAAAGCTCTCTATTACAAGAACTGGCTTTACAAGCTCTCTATCCTGTAATTACAAGAACTGGCTTTACAAGCTCTCTATCCTGAACACTCCTGCAGTACCAGAGGTCCCAGATTTCCTAGGCTACAACCATCAAAATTCAGCTTGATAAAACCATTTTCAGGGGGCCTCCAATCTACCACAGGCTTCTCCCTAAAAGCATGCCTATAGATCCATGGCACTCAAGAAACAACCATTTTTGAGTCTCCTACTTCCAAATGTTGGAAATTTGATTGCTTTGCAAGTCTTAATCCTTGCAGCAATGCCATCAGGTAAGCCTTTAATGAGTCTCACAATCCTAAAGGTCCTGAAAACATGGTGAACACCCTGCCTGCACACATGTCAGAGATGCATGGATTGAATTCGAATTTGAATCAGATTGATATTCCATCCATTTGCAGTCCTACTAATTGTCCACCCTCTGATTGTGCGAGAGTTGCCTTGCATCAAAACATTGTTATAGTTCAATGTCTTCCCTAATTTCAACCCCTGCACTAATGCCATGAGTTCTGCTTTGATCAACTTAACTTCACCTGTAGGTCCTGAATAAATTGTTTAAATTTCCCTTTCATGGTTTCTGATGACACCCCCTACTGCCAATCCTGGATTACCCAAACTGCACCCTTCAAAATTCAGTTTAATGTATTTAGGTGGTATGGGAGACCTGTAGAGGCATAGTGACTGCCACGGTTATGCCATCTTCTTTCTTTCCTCTTTTCAATTTTAATTTGTGAATTCATATGAATTTTCATGCTTCTGTCAATTTCACTTTGTTCTCCATAAGCACATGTGAAGTTGCAGTTCCTGAAAATAGGTTATAATTTGTCTTGCAGGGAATGAGAAGGAGCACCTGAAAGTTACACTTTTACGTATTGATTCTTCACTGCAAGGTGTCCTCTCATGTTTGCCTGATTTCCGTCCACCATTTACAAATGGAAGGGTTGAAGATTCTAGCAACCATTCTTTCCTAATAGCTGGGGCATCAGGTTCAACTGTTGGCAGCTCTGAACTGCGGGAAAAAGCTGCTGAGATAATACATATGGCTTGCAAGTAATTCTAGTTCCAGGATTTATTTTCAAGTAACCTCCCACCTTTCTATACCAAATTTGATTTTCTAAGCCTCATATATGGACATTGAGCAGATACTTATTGGAGGAAAGATCAGATGATAGCATCCTTTTGATTCTCATTATTCGTATAATGGATGCTTTAGGAAACTATGGTATGGATACTACATTTAAATAGAGTACGCTTTTGTACAGTACAGGCTACTCACAGTTGCTCATATTCTCATGCAATACCTTTTGTTATCTGTCATACAGGGAGCTTGGAATATGATGAGTGGTCAAATCACAGACAAGCCTGGAAACTGGAATCTGCTGCCATAATAGAGCCTCCAATAAATTTCATTGTATCATCTCATTCTCAGGGGAAGAGAAGGTGAAGAATCCTCCTATCAGTATATGTCCTTATTTTCATGTTGAAGAACTTATTTTAGTTTTCTGAATGCTCTCTTTTGTTCTTTTTCAGGCCCAGATGGGCACTTATTGACAAGGCATACATGCATAATACATGGAGATCATCACAATCATCTTACCATCTGTTTCGTACTAGCAAGAATATATCTCCCTCAGATCAAGTGGCTCTTTTATTGGATGATCTTCTGAACCTTTCTTTGCATAGATATGAAACTGTTCGTATGTGAGTAACAGTTCCTCTATATTTTTATTAAAATGATCAGTATTTGTTTCTCTATGGTTCTGCTAAAATTATCAATAGTAGTTAGTCTACTATGATAGTTCAAAGGAAAATTTTCAAATAACACTGTTATTTAGCATGCAATACCTATTCTATTTTGAAAATTCTTTATATAGCCCATTGGGGAGGTAGATGCAGCAAATGTCAAAGTGTATTCTTTGTTAAGGGGTTAAGGATAGCAGTACACCTGTGTTTTTCTCATTTTATTTTCTAATCAAAAGTGGATTGGTTTTGGAAAGATGATTGGGTGGGGATTGGTAGGTTGTGTGACATTTGCCCAAAGTTTTACAATCTAAGTGAGAAGAATATATCAATTGCTCAATGTTTCAAATTTAATCAAGGAAGAGTTGTGTGATTCCAACATTAGAAGACCTCTATTTGATTGGGAAATGGTGGAACATTTGAGGTTGTAAGTTAAACTTCAAGCTTTGAAGTTTGGAGGTTGATAGAGCCTAGAGGAGACTCAAGGTGGTGGAGGGAGTGCAGAAATGGATTTTTTACGGTTATATCCTATAACAACTGTTTGACAAGGAATCAAGTGGAAAGAACTAATCTGAAAAGGGGGAGCTTGGTTGCACTAAGGTTGGAAATGCTTGTTTGGCTGGTTGCATTGGATAGTATACTAGCACAAGATCACTTGAAAAGCAGAGGAATGCAACTTGTTAAGAGGTGCTACTTATGTAGAAGTGCTTCATCTCTTAGTGCTCTGCAACTTCTCAAAATGTATTTGGAGTTTCTTCAGCTTATTTGGTTCAGTCAGGTGGGTTCCTAGAAGTCCTATGGAGATTTTTTCTTGCTGTTCAGTTTTAACTGGGAGTATCAAAGCTAAAATTGCATGGTCCTGTATGATCTATGAAAGAAAAAAAGGAAAAATTGTGTGATCCCACATTCCATTTGTGGTTTTTTTTTTCGGAGACCAGGAAGGAGAGGAATAGAAGAATCTTCGTGGATAAGGCAAGATCCAAAGAGGAGCTGCGTTTGACCATTGGGAGAAGAATCTTGGACTGGATATTGATTCTTCCTGAGTTTTCAGGGGTTTCAAGAGAATCTTTTGGGGGTGGTTTGGTCTTTGGATTTGGAATGGAGGGTTTGATGCATTGGATTTTGTTTTCCTTTCCTCTTATTTTGGTGAGCTCTTATCACCTCTTTGCTTGTATTTGATGCGAGAAAATATAGTAGTAAGCATGGTTTAAAGTATCGATACACCCAATACACATGAACAGGCATATCGAGTGTTTCACTACTTTATAACTTTCTTATTTTAAGTTTCTTTTTTGTTTTTTTTTTTCAAAATTGCATCAGGGGGTCGGTTTTAAGCATGCCTACCCCCTGAAAATAGTCGAAGTGCGAAACATTCCTTATTTGGGGTTTCAGACAGCTTCTGATACGACACGATACACCCCACTTATTGAAATTTTGAACCTTGGTGATAAGAGATAAAACCCCCATATGATAAAAATTCTTGGTGTCTATATTGTGATTCATGTACAAATTATGTGTCTATGCTCTATTGTCAGATTCAAAAATGTCCCAAGTTCTTGAGTTCCATAAAATTGGAAGCTGAAAATTAAACAAGCTGCTCCATCTTCTATTGTTTCTACAAAGAATAAACAAGCTGAAAAATAATGAATAAATTACACATTTAATGTTTCTATGAAAAATAATTTTATTTTTTGATAAGCAATCCCAACAAGTGAAATATATTAAAATATAATCAAAATAGATACAAAAAGAATAAGGGAACATGAATCTCTGACATATAAGCTTATGATTATGCTGCTCCCGTATTTGGAAGCCATTACCTTCAGGTTCCTTTTCTTGTGCCTCCTTCTTTGCTTTCTTGTGCTCCTCTCCATTGCCTCAACCTTTTCATAACAAGGAAGTTTGGTCCAAACCTGTCCCTCCTAAAGTTGGAGCCCTTTGTTGGGAAGTCTCCCTCGGGAAAATCAACACTTTGGATGTTTTGCAAAAAAGAAGGCCTAGTCTTTGTCTCTCTCCTAACTGGTGCACCCTATGCAAAGCTAATGAGGAAAGTTGATACCATATACTAATCACTTGCCCTTTTGTTGTAGGCCTTTGGGAAAAGCTTTTTGATCTTTTTGGGTGCAGGTGGACAGAACCGGTGCAGATTTGCAATCTTTTTTGATCCTACAACTTTCAGGTGGCCAAAGAGAAGAGGAAGAGTTTTGTGGAGGTGTGTTAGAGCGGCTTTGGTGTGGACTGTGTGGGAGGAATGAAATGCTAGAATCTTTAATGACAAGGAGAGGGATCAAACATGTGTGTTAGAAAGTATCTTATGTAGGGCCATAAGTTGGGTAAAATCCTTGGATCTGTTTTCCACCTACACTTTCGATGACATAAGGAGAAATTAGGAATAACTAGCTAAAAGTTGTGCAATCAGAAGCAAGCCGGTGGTGGATTGGAAGCCTCCTGATGCAGGCGTCATGAAACTAAATTTTGATGGCAGTAGTTTGGGCAACCCGGGGCCATCTGGAATAGGGGGAGTCTTCAGAAATGATGAGGGTTAGATTGTAGTTATATTTTCTGGTCCTATAGGGTGGGGAGACTCTGTAAATGCAAAACTCCAAGCTGTATTAAAGGAGCAGAATATGCAAGAGAGTTGGCAGTGGAGCATTTAATGATTGAAGGTGATTCCAAATTGGTTATTGGATGGCAGAAAGAAGCAGAGACGGCAGCCTGGCCGTACAGGGGGGCTTTGAGAAGATTTAAGTGGCTGACTTCAAATATTTCAGTCACAGTTCAATGGGAAAGAAGATCGGCAAATGGGCTGGCAGACCTTCTAGCTAAACAAGGAGTACATAGGAATCAGCTCTTTTGGGCTCAATTGTAAGCTTTATGATGTAGTTTGGAGGCTGCACCTCGCGACTCTTTGTGGGGAATTGTATGATGAATACTTAGTTTTTTATTTAATAAAATTTTCATTATCATTATCCATCAAAAAAAAATTTATGCTGCTCTGTACAACCAAAATACTAATCCATTTAGTAGGAAAATGCAGTCTATTAAGCCTGTGAAATTCCTTCAAAATGAGAGACTGATCTGCAAGGACAGAAATGAAATCTGAGCAAATAAAAAGAATTCTCCTGTTCTCTCTTTCCAGAATCGTCAACAAACCGCACAAAGTACAAGCTTCCATAGGAGATGCCCTCTAGGGATAAAGCCCCCAAATGTCCAACGCCTTTACAGAAGAATTCCTAGACAGCTAAGTTACCTCATTGTTGCCAGAAGGGGCACTCAATCAACCCAAACTGGGCTTGACATACTTCATATGTTAGGAATAGAGTTGTCTTTATCCATCAGGTGATCAACTGTCAACATTTTGTCTAACAATGCAAGCCAAAGGCATGCCTCTGCTTTAGGCAGGCTCATCTGTCCCCAAATATTTTTGGCCTAAGATGACTCACACATTACTATAGAATGTTTAAGAGTTAAGACAACAATCCAGTGCCATGGAGGCAGAAGAACATAGTAAGGGATATCAGGAGGTTAATAAGGTACTTAAGGGCTCTCATCGGGTGGATATGGTGACCAGTTGATAAAATGTTATTCAATACCAATGTTTAGACAAGATTTTCCTCCTACAAAGATGCACTTTCATTTTGCAATGAAATGGCTTTTGCCAAACTCATTAGAGATCTTTGTCTCTCAGTTTCATTCCAAATAAACTCATTGTAGAAGGCCCATGATTAGAAAAAACTCATTATATTTCTATTTTAGTAATTAAGATGCACGTGCACCCTTTTCAGTTGTTTTCATGTTCTGGTGCCATTCATGGTTTATTATAGATAATGATGTTGAATTGGTCAACAGACTCGCTGGAAAGTCTCTCTTGAAGATTCTCAAGCGTTGGCCATCTATGATTTCGAAGTGTGTTATCACCCTTACTGACAATTTACGAGATCCAAATACACCAGAACATGCGGTGCTAGGTTCTTGTGTAGTCCTTGCTACACAGACTCTTCTTAAGCATTTAGCAATGGTAATTCTCTGCAATAAAGTGATTTCTCAACGACAAATAAAGGGATAAAATGTTGATGGCCTGTCTTCTTTCTAATATTTTCAGGATCCAAAATCCTTCTCCTCATTTCTCCTAGGCATCCTTGCAAGGTGAGTTTCTTTTCATGCCACTGGCCTTGCTTGTAATGGGTTCATTTTGGCATCTTTCTTGATGTTGATATAAGTTACACATATCCAAAAACTTATTTGTTTTCATTTGTTAATTTTCCTCTTAAGCTCCCATCATGAATCACTGAAAGCTCAGAAAGCTATCAATGAGGTAATATCTCTTGTAGAAAGATTGAGAGGATATTTGTCACATTTATGTTGTTTAATATTATCTATTTGTCAACAGCTTTTTGTCAAATACAACATACACTTCTCCGGAGTTTCCAGGAATGTTTTCAGGATACCAGACAATTCAGATGAACCAAAATTTGCAGATTTGGTTTCTCAGATTGTTGCTATGAGCTTTGATACAACTGGCTTGCATTGGCGGTAATGCTTATACTGTATTTTACCTGCTTGATAAATCTGTATACTGTTTGTATACCAGCATCAAACACATTTCTGTGGCAATTTTGATTATTTGTCTAGTTGGTTGGAAATGTATCAAGCAATGGTCATGAAAGCTGAAGTCTCCTTTCAATGCACATATTATTCTATCTATGCACTAACAATCACCATTATTATTTTATACATGCACATTTATTTCTTACTTCACAAGTTTCTTTTTCTTTTCCAGGTATAATCTTATGGCTAACCGAGTATTGCTATTACTAACTATGGCTTTTAGGGGTGACCCAAATTCATCTTCAAAAATCCTCAGTGAAACTGCTGGTCAGTGTACATCATCATTCAGTGATATCCAGTTGGAGCGACATACTCATCAGCATCATCTTATCATTCTTGCAGCTGACTACAACTGTTTCTTGCTTCTATTTTCTCCACATTGTAACATGAAACTATGTCTTTTCAGGTCATTTCTTAAAGAATTTGAAAAGTCAACTTCCTCAGACAAGGATACTCGCAATCTCAGCTCTAAATACTCTGTTGAAAGAGTCACCGTACAAAATTTCTTCTCCAGAGCAGCAACATTTGTCGAGGCAGTTAGAAGGGAATACCAAATCTTCCCTTGAAGGGGCACTAAGCCAAATTTTTCAGGAAGAGGGATTTTTCAGTGATACACTGAACAGTCTTTCTCATGTCCATATAATCACTGACACTGATAGCAATTCTTCACGAGGAAGTCATGCATCTTCTTTCCAGAGCCTTGCAGATAAGTCAATCACTCGTTTCTATTTTGACTTCTCAGCTTCATGGCCACGGACTCCTAGTTGGATTTCTTTGTTGGGAAATGATACTTTTTACTCAAACTTTGCACGGATTTTTAAACGCTTGATTCAAGAATGTGGGATGCCAGTTTTATTGGCACTTGAGAACACATTAGGGGAGTTTGCAAATGCTAAAGAGAGGTCAAAGCAGTGTGTTGCTGCTGAAGCATTGGCTGGGGTATTGCATTCTGATATTGATGGTCTTGTGGAAGCATGGGAGAACTGGCTAATGGTCCAACTTCAGAAGATCATTCTGGCACCATCTGTGGAATCAACACCAGAGTGGGCAGCATGCATACGTTATGCGGTTACAGGAAAAGGAAAATATGGAACAAGAATTCCTCTTCTGAGGCAAAGGATCATGGATTGTTTGGTTACACCTTTACCCCAAATGGTGGCTACCAATGTAGTTGCTAAGCGCTATGCTTTCCTTTCAGCTGTTTTGATTGAGATCTCCCCACCTAAAATGCCAATGGAGGAGATTCAATTCCATGATAAACTTTTGGAAGAGTTATTGGACAATATGAGCCATTCATCTGCACAAGTAAGTTGGAAATGATTTTTGAATTTTGGTGATTTTGAAACAATTTTTGTCATATATGTTTAATTTAGGCATACATGGTTTATTGGGCATTTATTCTGGCTAAACCACCATTTTATATTAGTGATGTATAAGGTTCAAATTTTCAATATCATTGGCAATATTTTCCTTAGGAAATTAGACATTTCAAGGATATATTGCAAATATTACTGCATATATTGGAAATGGCCTACAATGAGTACTGCCTCATTTTCTAGAATTTTTTTTTTTATAGTAAAATAAATATTTTGTTAACAAGGGAAAGGAGAATTTAAAAGTATAGTGTATGATGAAACACTCAGCTATAAAAGACAGGTTTATCTTTCAAACAAAATGTACTAAATCCACAAGTCTATAGAGCATATATAAATAGTCCAAGATTTTCCAGAATTGACTCCCAAAAGATGCTCTTGTCACATCCTCAATTTGGATGAGAAAGCATCCAGTACAACAAAGAGAGCAGATATTGCAAAAATACATCTCTCATTCTTATACTTCCCTTAGTAATGACCCTGCTCCTTTCCCTACAAATTCCTCAACAGACTACAAATGAACTGGTATTTGAGAAAATCTCAGTTTTTTTTTTTTCCTACATGCCAAGGATGGCCACCTTGGAAAAATTTCATGTGGTGATGAGGGATGCATCTTGCTTAGTTGCTTTCCCTAAATAATGAATCATGATCATCATCATCTAAGCTTTGTCCGAACAATATACAGTTGGTTACATGAATCCTGTTTCACCATTTCATTCTGTTCAGAGACATATCAATAGTTAAATTTTGTGTGCTCAAATTGTTTCTTAATACTTCCTCCAAAGTCCATTTTGGTCTGCTTCTAGCTCTTTTAGCCCCTTAACTTGTAACAGATCACTTTCCTAACAGGTTCTGTAGATGGTCTTCTATACACAATACCAAACCATCTTAACTATCTCTTATTTTATCACCTACTGGAACTACTGCTAGGTTCCTTCATGTGGCTTCATTTCTAACCTCTCTTTCTAGTTTTACCACTCATCCAAGCATGTGCTTTATGCCACACTCATTTTTTGGACATGCTGTTTATTGACTGCCCTACTTTCTAAATAACGAATAACCAAATGAAATAAGTCCAATGAAGGGACCACACTAGAAGAGATGAATAAGTTACATATCATCTCCCTTGTGGTGCTTGCACATCACAAAAAAGCTAGCTAACTAGAAACCCTGACTCTTCAAATGCTTGAGAGTCAAAATTCTGTGCAAAGAAACAAGCCACACAATTACCTCAAAACTATTTTGAACTGGAATTCTCCATACCTTCATTGAAACGATTCCATCTGATTTCTTGAAAGGCCTCATGTTGGAAGGCTTAATACTGGTCTCCACCAATTTGGACAGAAATATAAAGCAATTTGCCTGTTAGTACAGACAGTTAATAAGAGAGGTAAAGCAACTGGTGTGATAGCCAAGGATAAGTTTCCTTTGGGTTTAGTAATCAGCAAATAGGGCCTTATGGATGCCCCCGCATACATAGATATAGGTGTTATTAAATAAATTTACTTAAAAATAAAAAAAAAAACATATAATGCAATTTTTTACCTGTGACCCACTGACTGAGTCAAGTGGGTAAATGGTTCAACAGCCTAGTCAGTGGGTTGTTGACCCACTGACTGAGTCGAGGGTGGGTTTATGGTTAACCCAAACCAGAATCATGACTGGGTAAGAGGTTAAATAGACCAATAGGCCGGGTTAAGAACAGGTTGAAAACACTGGTTCTTTGTTTATAAATTGATAAAATTAATCAGTTTCCAATTAAAACAGAAAATGAGAAGGCTATGCACATTACCAATCAGTTGAAAAATCTTGAATAGGCATCCAAAAGTATGTAATCAAGAAGCACAAACATCTTCGCTTGGTGGAATACTATTTTCATCAAATAATGAATGTAAAAAAGAATTTTAAATAATGACGATCGTAAATTAAGATATAATGTGTACATAAATACCATAACGTTGATAAATCTATTTAAACAAAACTCATTGTAATCATTCATGGAGAGAGATAGAAAGAGAAGAGAAGAGAAGAGAAGAGAGAAAAGAGGAGAAGAGGAAGATATGATTGAGAGACACGAACAAAAAACTATTCTGGCTGCCGCCAGTTTAGTAATTTATATTAATTTAATATAAAGGAATGGGAGATTACAAGTATGCCCCTGCTGGCACTCTCTAGTAACAAATTAATAAAAAAGAAAGAAACTAACTGGCTGACAGCATCTTAGGCTGACAACACCCTAACAACAACTGTAAAATAACAATTAAATAATCCTCACAACACTCCCCCTCAAGTTGGGCTGAATATGTCTATCATGCCCAGCTTGTCACATAACTCATTGTGCCACGAGTATGGAAGTCCTTTTGTGAGGACATTAGCGAGTTGTTCCTTGGAGTTGACATAAGGGATGCAAATTTCTCTTTTTTCCAATTTTTCTCTTATGAAGTGT